CCACAACCTGGTTTCCCGGCGCCATCTAGCGGGCACACCTGGGACTGCCACCGTGACGCCCGCCCTCGAAGGGAGAAGCTGAAGGCTCAAAAAATGCCAACTTGACCACTTGTGAGATCAAAGCCTTTAGAAAACAGTTTGCTGGGCTGCGCACACGCCCAGAAAAAACGGCGGCTCGGAGCGTTTCCTCGCTGTGGGCCTCCGGCGGGGCTGACACGCAGCTCTTGCGCTCCGGGATGTGGGAGAGTGTAGTGACATTGCCACGCTGTATCCACTCCAGCTGGTTAGTGGACACGCCGCCCTGTTATTAAATAATTTTATTTTCACCGCGATTAATTATTTCCTCTGTGAGAAAACATTAAAAAGAAACAAATGGGCAGCATGTGCTGTATACGTATGCAGCAAGCACTGTTCCTCTATTGCTTCATTCCATCCTGACAGTAACGACTACAGTCACGCAGCAGGACTAGCAGACCCTCTGTGCAATCGGGACGACCGAGGCAGAGCCTGCTGAGGAGCCCACGGTTTAAGTAAAGGGTGGGCGGCTCGGCTTTCCCCGCGTGCACGCAGCCCCGCGGTCCCCGGCGCTGGGGTCTCCCTCCCTGGACCTGTAAAAGTTGGTGGCATCTACTCGGAACACTGGGCTCAGGGAAGGCAACCGGAAGTGAAAGAATCCCTGAACCACTTCCAAATTCACAGCTCTGAGTGGTGATGAATCATCTAGCTCGGTTGTCAACAGCCAGGGAGGTTTTTGTTTTTCGTGAGTTTTTAAAAGATATTTATTGATAGGGAAGCTCCTGAGGGGCAGGAGGGGTCCTGAATGGGTAGCCCAAGTTTTTTGTTTTTCAAGAAATTGATTGCCTCAGAAGGTGGCTTTTCCTGAGTATCTCCCCACCTTTAAGGAGCTGTCAAACACGAACGGGAGCCCTTCCGGTAACCTAACCACTCTCAGTTCTGCCATTCAGGGCTCGACACCCAGCAAAGCCAAACAGCTCTGAGGCAGAAGTCTTTGACGGATGCGTGGGTCATAAATATTAATGGTACTGACAGAGACTTTAAAAGTGCGTCACATTTTGTCCCTGCTGCAGACATCCCCGAATTCATCCGTTTCTTCCCTGAACTCGCTTAGCTGGGTCTGCACTTCCCTTTCCCGCTCAGAAATCACACATCACCCAAGGTCACCCCAAAAAGATACAGGTCAACTGAACCAAACATCTTAATGGGCTTTTCCCTTCCTTTCAACTGAGCTGACTGCAGGTCCTTTCCAAAAACCAATTCTTTTATTTAATTTTTTTTTAATGTACACCAGGAAGTAGGGTAACATCCAAATCGAGCTCCTGGGGCTCGGAGGGACGGGTCTGCTAAACATCCCTACTGGCTCCACATGGCGAAGGCCATGGCAGCCAGGTGAGGGTCCCATCTCTGGCCTGGCATTAGTGCCCAGGGTGACTGACAAGTGGGAGGCTTTCATCCCCACCAACAAAGGCGGTGATTTCTGGCCATTTGTAAATTGTACTCCCTGGACAAACCCTGTGCTTGACGATTTAAAATTGCTCCTTTCAGCTGTGAGCAAGGTGGATCAATCAGGTGAAACCCTGTGTGGATAATAGGTTGCCGCCATCTGCAGATGCCACAAGATGCTCTAAATTTGGCTTCCTCTGGACACCAGTGGCCACCTCGGCCTGGGCTCTGCACCAGGAACGACAGTGACAGATTTATTTGGGGGGTGGGAGACGTGTGCAGGCCGCCTATGTGGGCTTCTGAAGCCAGGGCTCCACCAAAATAACGTTCAAAGACAGCAAAGCCGACTGTGTCCTGGATGCCACTCCGGTCCACCCGGAACCTCGAAATGTGGTCTGATCTAGAGACAAGGTTTGCACGCACAGTTGACTAAGATGAGTTTCTACTGGATTCCAATAGACCCTGAGCCCGACGACCGGCATTTTCACAAGGAGAGGACAGACACACTTGTGCGACCCTGTGAGGAGACGGTTCTGAGGGAACTGCGAGCTAGGGAGCCCTTGAGACCCGGAAGCTGGAAGAGTGAAAAGGAGCCCTGAGGGCGCCTTGCAGGGCGGAAGTCCCCATACACACACACACCTGCATCTGGGACTCCCAGGTCCCGAGCACCTCGAGAGGCATCTGATCTTCCCGTGTGTGGCGACTCTCGACTCTCGCTGCGGCTCGAGAAGCTGATTCTGCTCCCTGAACAGACGCTGCTGCCGGACTGGCATCTCCCCACCTCCGAACGGTACCCAAGGGGACGGGCAGGCACATGGTGAAAAACCCACTGCCCACCCCCAAGCCAGCTGGAGCCTCACAGGATGTGTCATGTCATGGGAGAGGAGCGGAGAGAGACGGAAGGAGGGAGGAAGAAGGGGAAACGGGAAAGAAGAGAGGGAGGCGTGGAGGGAAGAGGGAGAGGGGCGGGGATGAGGAAGACAAGGAGGAAGGAGCGAGAGCAGGGAGGAGAGGCAGGACAGAGGGAGGGAGGAAGCCGAAGCAAACTGGTTACTGATCAGTGGAGAAATACCCATTACAACTTACATCCGAATGCCCCAAGCCTCCCCCACTCAGAGGCCGGCTTGAGGAAGGTGTGTGCATAACGGGCTTCGGCAGGATTGGAGTCGGGGGCGGGCCTTGGGGAGGAGCATAGCCAGGATGTGGCCTGGAAGGGTCAGCACCCTGTCTGGCTCCACCCTTCCCTCCCTGGCTCCTCCCTCCCTCCCTGGCTCCTCCCCTGGCTCCTCCCTCCCTCCCTGACTCCTCCCTTCCCTCCCTGACTCCTCCCTTTCCTCTGGCTCCTCCCTTCCCTCCCTGCCTCCTCCCTCCCTCCCTGGCTCCTCCCTCCCTGGCTCCTCCCCTCCCTCCCTGCTTCCTGTTCTCCATGCAGTGAGCAGCTTTCCTCTGCCAGGCCCTCCCACCCTGCCTTCCTGCCAGGTACCCAGCTGACCACGGACTAAAACCGGGAGCCAAAATAAACCTCTCCTCCTTAAATTTCGGGTGTCAGTATTGGACACATGACTAAGACATCTCCCGGAAGCCTGCAGAGTAGCGACAACCAGGCAGCCCTATTCACACGGGCACCAGAAGGCTGGAGCCTGTGTTTGAAGCCAGGCCACATGCTACACAGGACAGCGTGTCCTGCGGTCCACGCATGTGTATGAAGTAGACACACAGGACAAGGTCCCGGCCACACCTCACAGGCCACTGAAAGGGTGTGCACCGGCTCACCTGAGAAGCCAATGTCTCTGAGGAGCAGCCAGCCCGCGGACACCTGAGCCTGACCTGTGACGTTTTGCAAAGAGATCCAGGCACCATTGACTCAGGTTTTGGGGTGTTTGTGACAAAGGAGAAGAAGCAGACTCATTCACAGGCCTTTGAAACTTCCCGAACCGCTGCCTACCTGAGACGGCCCACCGCTGTGACAGCCCCCTGGGGCGCGTGGCGCCAGCTGCTGTTCTTCCCAGTGAGTGCCCTCCTCCTCCCAGCCTGGCTCAGGGCTGGGGGCCGCAGGACGGAGGCTGCCTGGCTCTGAGCCCCAGCAACACTCGAGGAAAACCAGGGACGGAGGAAAGGGCACACAGAGGCAGTGGTAGGGACGGGGACAGTGCACAGCGAGCTCCGTGCAGGGCTCCATGCTGCACAACTCCCGCATAATCACCACAAGCAGGGAAACTGAGTCAGTCACCAGACACTAAGTCAGACTGCCAAGTGTCGGTGTCAGGATTTGAACTGGTCTCCAGCATCTCTGCCCCAAACAGTGCCCTGCCCTCCACTAAGTGCTCCTCGGGGCTCTGAAGCTCTGATCAACAGAAACCAGCTCAAAACTCTGCTGCTCCCTGGTAAGCAGGAGCAGGAGTCTGGTTCCTGCTGACGGAAGGAGGTGGCGGACACTCCCTGCCCGTCCTGAGGGTCCCTGACCTCCATGTCCCACTCCAAGATGGGCATGGAGCTAGGGAGTCTTTCCAGGATTCCAGGCATCCGGCCTCTTTGGGGTGACAAGCAGCCAACTGTTCCTTCAAGATCCTCCCAGGGCCCTGGAGGCCAAGCCAGGGAGTGAGGGGTCTCCCTGATCATGGGTCTCCCATTCCAGGTGGGAAAATCCCTCTCTCTCTCTCTCTCTCTAGGGTAACATGAACAAAGGTCCTGGGGTAGAAGAGTATGGATGTAGGAAGAGGTGGCCTGAGGAAGGGAGAAGCTGGGCTGCTTCACATAACACAGTGCAGAGGGGACGTCCACTCCCAGAGCAAGAAGCAGCCATGGCGACTTGGGGCCAGGAGCCTGTGTGCCGAGCGTGTGTCTAGGTGACACCGTGGCACGTGGAGCACCCACCACAGGCACGGAAGAGAGTGGCGGGCACCACTGCTGTCCCAGCAGAGCTGGATGGGGCTTGGAGCAGGCACGCTGCCCTGAGCCTACTGTTCACGTGCCACACACACACACAAGGTTCTGTCCATGGCTTCACACCGCACACAAAACAAACCCAAGCCAGGCTCCTCCCTAGGGGTCATGGAGTGGGTCTATGGTTGGAGTTTGGGGGTCTGCAACAGTCCATGGCAAAATACACACTCGCACGCACAAACACACACATGCACCTGTGAACACAAGCGGACACTCAGACATACATGGACACAAATACGAATACACACAAACACGCACAAATACAAAAGCACAGACATGCGGAGATACACCAAGACACACAAGTACACACACACACACACACACACACACACACAGATTTATTTATATTCACCTCCGCCTGAAGTTGAACATTTCTTTTGATGACAAATGTGTGCAGAAAACCGCAGCGGCATTAGCAGCATCAGCATTTCTCACAACAGATGTTTGCGCAGCGCATCTCAGTCGGCACGGAGGACTCACAAGAGCACCGGTAGCCACAGCGCCTGGGGTTACACAGCCCGGACACCTGACGGTAGGTCCCACTTGCAACTGCTTTGCACACAGTGCCATGAAGTGCTACATCTATTTCTGGATATTTTGTAAATATTTCCATGACTATATTTCAGTCCAACTGGTTTTCCTGTTAATTTTCTAAAACTCATACACCTTTATAAGATTTCAGGCTGCCAATGGTTCCACAACACAAGAAGGGGCAGCACCGGGTCCTGAAGGCAGAAGAGCCTGGAGCCAGGTGGCCTGGGGGTGACCCCAGCCCTGACACTTCCTGGGTGTGCATTTATTCTCTCTGTAAACCTGGGCCACAGGATGGCTACGTCCTTGTCACAGATCCTGGGACTGGGCTGCCTACCATGGAGAATGAGACTTCACAGGTGAAGGAGTCCAGTCCTTGAGAGAGAGAGAGGTGATCCAGATTTTCCAGGTGGGACCAATGTGAGCACAGGGTCCTTACAGGAGGGAGGCGGAAGGTCAGACTCAGGGAAGGGATGGGGGCGCCCAGGGAGGGGGGTGCAGTTACAAACAGGGGACCCGGAGCCAAGGAGCTGGAAGAGCCCTGCAGCCTCTGGAAAGGACACAGCCCTCCCGAAACCCTGACCTTAGCCCCTCGAGATTCGCTTCAGACCTCCAACTTCGGACTCCTAGGGTGTGCGTGAACTGCTACAGCAGCGTCAGGAAACTAACAGCCAGCAGCACCTGGAGACCGGGGGCCCATGAGACATGACCCGCAGGACCCACACCGCGCATGCTCCCTCTTCCTCCCGGTCTGCTCTCCTGCTCCTGCCCCTTGCCCCCTCTCTCTGCCCTCCAGCCACCTGCCCTTCTTCCTGTCCCACTTCCCCCTGCTTGGATGCTCTTCCCCACCACTTCCTATGGCTGGCTCTTCCTTCTGGTGGTCCCAGCGCAAACACCAGGGCCTCAGAAGGACGCTTCCCTGGTCACTCTACCACCGCCCGCCCCTCTCCCGGCTCCCTGTCCTCCTCCCGCTGTGTCCATCTCCAAGGTGCCCAGCGCTTCTGAGAGAAGGGACTCTGTGGCTCTGGCATTTGTCAGTCTGCTGCCCAGTGTGACCAGAGGAGCTGAGACCCTGCCTGCCCCACTCCCCAGGGTCCACTAGAACGACGCTGGCACAGTTGCCACACAAACACAGCCCGGAATAAAGAAGCGTTTGTGCCCAGGCCGTGCCACAAGGTGCCAGGCCAGCGTGACTAAAAAGGAATCTGATTCTCCCTCTCTCCAGCCTATGCTGAGCTTGTGTTCCCAGTTGCCTAGAAACTCACCAAGTGCGTTCATTTTTTTTTTATTCCAACCTTTTTGAAAGATAATATGTTTTTTATCTACATGTGCAGAGCTAGGCTTTTTAGTTTTAAGAACTGTAGTTGAATGGTGGGCTGCAGTCCTAAACTCTAAGCCACCCACGGGAACAAATCTCTGAGCTCAAAGCTCAGTAATTGGACAGAAACCCTAAGAAAAGGAACACTGTGGAGGGAAAAAAGAAAACATGTGCTTTCAGAGGGAGAAAGAAAAGAGAGACACTACTTAGAATTTCCCAACCATGGAGAGCACAGCAGAAAGACCACAAAGATTTGAAAAATGATGCAGAAAACAGTGTTAGTGCCCAGGGTGTGGGCCTCTCTTTAGACTGTCCTGGTGAGAAGGGACTTCTGAAGTTTTTGACCAAATGTGCTGCTCTTCTGGAAATCAAATATTAGGCTCTTCTGAAATCAAATACTAGTGATTTCAACTTCAAATTTTTCATCAACTCCATTTTCTCTCTTTGTGTACAACAGAAAACGATGCATCTGGAATGTGGCGTATGCTAAATAAATGCTGTGGTATAGTGATAGACTGGAAGAATGAGTAGATGGGTGGGTGGGTGGGTGGGTGGATGGATGGAAGAATGGATGGATCAGTAGATAGATGGATTGATGGATACATGAATTCATGAATGGATAGATGAGTGGATGGGTAGGTGGATGGATGAATGGATGCATGCATGGATCCATAGATAAGTAGACAGATGGATGCATGCATGAGTGGGTGCATGGACAGATGCATGGGTGGTTGGATGGATCAGTGGATGGATGAGTGGATGGATGGATGGATGGATGGATGGATGGATAGATGAATGGATGGATGAGTGGGTAGATGGATAGATGGATACATGCATAGATGACTTTGTGAATCACCATAGCTACTGCCCTTTGCAAGCCTGCCTGCCTGCCTGGACTCATCAACCTCATCTTGGCTTCCAAGCCTGGGGTCTCTCCTCAGCCTTCTCAAGCCAAGCCCTCCCAAAGCTGTAGATTTACTTTCATGAAGACACCAAAAGGTGTCAAGCATCTAACATAAAGCAGGACCCCAGAACTGTGGCCGTGAAGCTCTCAACTAGAAGCCTGGGTTGAACCCAGGGCAACAGAAACTTCTCAGGACACTGGGAGTATCCAGGGAGCCAGTACCTGGGCAGGACATGCCATTGGCTGTCCATGCTGTCCCAGGTGTGGCCAAGAATGCCAGATGCACAGTCCTCAGCCTCCCTGCACTGCGGCATATGACCAGTTCCAACCAATAGGGAGGAAGAAGGCCTGAGTTTCCTCTTAGGTGGGGGAAGACACAAGGCTATCGCTGCTGCTCCTTCCTGTTTCTGACAACCCCATGTGAGGAAGTCCCGCCCCCTGGGCTGGGGGCAAACCTGGGGGTGGCTGGTGAGGAGATGGAAAGCGCCTGTGTGGAGCCCCCTGGTCTCAGCTCACGGCCGGCGTGAGTGGGTTTGAGGAGCCAGGTCTGTTGCTTCACAAGGAAGACAGCTGGAGCTGGGAGGTGGCCAGTGGGTCAGCTCAGCAGCTGGGAAGTCACTGAAGACCCCAGTTCTGTCATCCTTGGAGTGCTCACAGCTCCTCCTATGGGGACAGTGGCTCCATCTCCTTCCACACCATGCCAGGGACAGGAAGCAGGAATGCCCTCCCTTGAACCATGTCCTTTTCAACAGTCAGCAATTCTTTCCCACCCCCGGATCTCTCCCTTTGGATTTAGTTGACCAGAATGACACCCTAAGCCTGTCTTGCCCACAGCAATCACAGGTGAAGGGGACGACACCACCAGGAAGGGGTGACCCCACCTCGCCGTGGAGGGACCCCCTTACCCAGCGGAAAGGTAGATGTGACCACACAGAAGAAAGAGACCTCACTGAGGTCCCTTAGCAAGGACGCTGGGGAGGGATCAGGAGGCCGCAGAGATGCCAGTGCAGCTACACTGCCCATGCAGGCAGCTGGAAGGGGGAATTGGTCCGGAGCAGCTGCTGAGACCCGAGCCAGTTCCGTGGCTTCTCAGCATGCACACTGTGCACCAATGAGGACTGCAGGTGCCATGGGACCTGGTGTCCCAGAGCCAGAGAGCCTGCATTTCAAGTCTCTCTCCATCTTCCTGGATCCACCCAAGATTTTTAAAAGGACTCAGCCAGTACTCGCGTATCATTACTATCTTTCTGTAATTCTTGTTCTCTCACAGTAATGAGATACAGAGGAAGATCTGAGATCAGTCTTGTGTCAGCTTTTTATCATTGGGGTGAAATATCTGACAAATGCAACATAAAGGAAGGAAAGGTTTGCTTTGGCTCATGGTTTCAGGCATGCTTGGCTGGCTCCAACGCAGAACATCACGGCGGAAGGGTGTAGTGGGAGAGCTGCTCACCTCACGGTGGCCAGAAGCAGAGGGAGGAGGGGGCGCCAGAGTGAGACTGGTCCTCCGAAGGCATGGCCCAGTGGCCCGCCTCCTAACAGCCCATTCAGCACTGCACCCCACGATGCTATCACCTTCCAAGGCCCCTCTCAGAGCACATGAGGCTTTGGGGAGACATTTTAGAACCAAACCGCAAGTCTGCCACCGACAAGAGCAACCAGCTAACACTGAAGAATACTATTTTGCTTGCACTGCATTGGGGATTTCTTTAAATTTATCTTCACATTTATACCCAATGAGACTGGTTTCCTGTCTAAACTAATTACAGAAAGCTCTAAAACTATAAATTTGAAAGTGAGAAAAATATTTACACATATAAATATACATAAAATAAGATTATAGAAAAAATTAGCTCCATTAATGAATTAATGTCTGAAGTTTGGAAAACACTGGCCAAATCCTTAAGGCAACTGCATGGGCCTTGGATAAAGATTTCAATCATGTTCCAGAAATCAGAAGTGCCTCAGCAGTCACTCAGAGCTGGTCCTCAACAGCTCACCAGTCCATCCGATTGTTGTCTTTCTCAGTCGATGTGCCTTTTGCCACACAATGCATAAACACAGGCCAGCTATACTAGCACATGTGTGCTTCCTCCCTCTGCCCCACTCACGCGAGACATAGCCAAACAGTCACAGAACTCTCTCGGGGAGCCAGAAGGGCCTCTGGCTCCATCACAATGCTGTGCTCCAAGAGGCCCTAACAGAACACGGCCGACACAGGCTTGGACTCTGGCCAGGGACCCGTCCAGCCTGTAGCCCTTCCTAGTGACGGCCCTTTCTGAGCACCCAGCCCTCCTGATGTACACTTCCCAGTCTCTTCCTGACACCTCACAGCGGGGCTACATTTCCTCCTGAGTCCCAAGGGCACACAGGACTTCAGAGCTGTGTGTGGGATCAACAGAGCCGTGGGGGCCCAGCAGGAGAAATCCAGGTGAATGAATAAAAGATGCCCCCGAACGGAGAGCTGGTATCCCAGCCTGGCAGACGAAGCCCAGCTGGCGCGGCTGCCTCTTCCCCCCATGCCCTGCCCAGCTCTGGCTGGCTCTGCTCACCACGCACACTCCTACTCTGCCTGCAATACCCTCCCCTCCTTTGCTGCCCAGCTGCTGTCCACTCACCATCGAGAAACAGACAGAGCAGCCCCCGTGCCCCGGCCTCCTTGACTTTCTGTGGCTGTGGGCAACACCCCAGGGACCGATTCTCGTTCTCTCCCTCTCTCCACTGTGTGCCCACCCCGGTCTCCTGTGGATGAGTCTGACTCAGCTCCCCAACTCCCCCTTACCTCCAGGGGCCCCCACGTGTCCTGCTGTTGAACTTCTGTCTGGCCTTTTCCCAGAGCGCGACAGATACACCTACACACGGCGAGCTCACACGGCAGCAACAAAGAAATAAGGAAAGCTAAATATAGAGCACATACCTTGTGCCGGGCCGGCATGCAGAAACAGTGCACCTGTGCTGCCTCACTTGGCCTTCGTGAAACTCCACCCAACAACTCAGAGCCTCTCTCTCAGTGAGCCATGACACACGTGGGCACACTGGGCACCACCCCAGCAGCCTACCTCAGCAGCTTCCGCCCCACGGTAACTAAAGTGAACTCAAAGAAATGTCCCCAAGTGAAAATCAGCCAACGGGGAGACGCGGAAGGTCACAGAAGCCCAGAGTGTGAGACACAACTAAACCAGCGTCCCCAGGGAAGGGGGCCGAGGTGCTGGGGGCAGAATGGGGACAGGGTGGGGTGACGCAGACCAGGGCCTGCACCGCTGTGCATGGCAGGCTCTCTGCCCTGACCATGGGGCTCTCCGCCCTGACCATGGGGCTCTCCACCGGACACAGAGGGATGAGGCCCCCCTGGGGAGAGGTGACCGTGGCAGCGAGGTGGTCAGGCCGACCTGTGTGTGCACCATGGGCCTCGTGCCTGCTTCTTCTGCATTCCCTTCACATTCTCGCAGAGTCACCCACAGCTTCTCTCCCACTTCCGTTCTGCCCCCACTATGTCACCTGACCCTATGTTTCCAATAAAACTTTATTTACAAAGACAGGCAGCAGGCTAGTCTTGGCCCGTGGGCTGTGCATGGTCCAGGCCCCTGTCCTGGCGCCAGCCTCCTGGCAGATAAACACAAGGCATTGCCAGCTCCTCTAGAAACTGGCACCTGCCTTTGAGAGACAGCATGGTGCTCTCCTGGTAAACTGCACCGCTGCAGACATCAGCGGGCTGCAGAACCTGTGGGGAATCAAGCATGGAGCCAAGGGCTCCAGACTCTGAGTGAAGAGGCTACCAGACTCCGCCTCACCGTGGGCATGCGGGAAGGGCAGGACTGTAGAAGCCCCTCGACTCCACCTAAAGCACACAGCCATCCAATCTCTGTCCCTTAACAGGCGCTTTTCTGCCAAGCTGTGGCTGCCACCAAACCAAAACGTGGATCACTGCTAATGGGGACAATCTCTCCCTCAGTCTAATCTTCAAAAACTAGATGGCCATGGACTCCTGGGATAAAGCAGAGGTGTCACTCATGCCACAGATTGATGCCCGCTTCGCCACGCGGCTGAGCACTGGGGAGACCAGGGCCATGCCCTCGTGCTCTGTCCCCTGGGGAGGAAAACGGGAAAGAATGAGCTTGAACATCAGCCTTTTTAGGTTTGGGAATCTCATCCACGACCTGCTTCCAGGTGTAGTGGTTGTAGATCAAGGGAGGGAATCCAACCACCCCCGGGGCCAGGAAGCAAAACACAGGTGGTTTAATGGGCTCTGGGACCTGGTCCAGCATCAGCTGGTCAGTTCCCAACAAGGCCCTCTGATCCATCCAGCTGCATTTTATGGTCTGCCAATTCCGGGGCCACCTGGGGACTCTCAGGGCAAAGCCAGGTGATGAGGGGCCGGTTCCTCAGCACAGGGAGCTGCCGTTCTCACCACACATTCCCGTGCGTTTCAGGGAAGCCCCCTTCCCAGAGCATGGCACTCGGATGGAGAAAATAAAGGGAAACCATTCAGCAGCCTCCACACAGGAGCAAGGGAGTCGCACAGTAGACTCTACTTTCCAGGGAGTCATTACAGAAATCAGGTAAGTAAAGTGTGATTTAAGTATATTTTCCTCGGCTAAACAATGGGTATCAAATGCATGAGAAAAAACAGATTCTACAGTGTTTCATGTTTCTTTGAGAAATAAAAGTATTCAAAGAAAAACGTCTCCGCTTTTCCGAAGCCCCAGTTTCTCACCATCGCGAGGGGGACGATGCCCACGAAGGTCGTCTGGCTGACGAAGATCTCGGAGACGACCAGCTGGCTCACGGAGTCCTCCGCTGGGTACTCTACCTGCCAGGTGATCTGCTGAGCCCCCGCCAGGCCGCTGCTGTTGTCGATCCCAAAGTCCACTTGCAAGATCTCATAGGAGGAGCCGTTTGGCCTGGAAAACAGACACGCGAGAGTCCAGTTTAACGCGCGTGACTCAGCAGAATGAAAAGCGCGGTAAATCCCACCCGCCTGTCTGTCAGCAGAGTGACTGGCAGCTCCCGCAGGCCCGCAGCAGGAGAGCCGCGGTCCAGGCTGCCCTCTGAGCCGCGCCCGGCTGCGCTGTGCACAGAG